TTCACCCATAGGAAGGTGACCTTTTGATGCATTTGGCTATCTTTGGGTTATTTCTGCTATTCTAAATAGCCCCTTACCCACATTCCTGTAAGGAACCCATAAAACTCATTGGCTCCCTAAGTTGGACTTCAGTGGTATCCTTCCTTGATTCTGTTGCTACTTCTCTCTCTTGGATGAATACACATCTGTTTATGACTCCTCCTCAAGAATAGTGTCACACGACACTGTAATCTGCCATGTTGACTAATACAAGTTAAAAATACTGTATTCTACAGAATGATCAAAATAGCCCTCATGAATTCTGTTAACGGATTTGCATTTCAAACAAAAATTTTCACTGCATGTATGCGTATACATGTGCATGTAGTTACATATGAATGCAGGTAGGTGTGTGTGTGTGTGTGTGTGTGTGTGTGTGTGTGTGTGTGTGGCGATCTTTGAAAACAGAACATGATGAGTAGCCACAGGGGAATTCAGGCTGTCAGTTAACGGCTGAGGGTTGTAGTGTAAGAGTTCTGTCCGTTAACACTCTTTAAAGTTTGATGAGCGTAGACAAAACTGTCTTCATTATTTAGCTGCTTACTAATACTGTCATAAACAGTTCGGCTTCATCCAAAATTAAAAAGATTTCTACTGCCACTATGTTTTATGCTTCGCTTATGACTCAAGCCTCTTTCACAGAGCACTCCACTTTCATTGAAATCTACTTCTATTGCTGTAAGTCATAAAAGAAAAAAAAAATGAGAATATTAAATCTTGATCCATGACAATACCCCCCCTTTTTTTTTTCTCAATACCACTTTAATATTTGTTAGCCATAGAGTTAAACTCCAGTTAACAGTCAGGTAAAAATAAATTCATTTATGTTAGAATTTTAAGTAACCACATTTTACCACTCTTTTCATCAGTGTGAAAGGTGCATTGTTATTTGTTTCTTTTTATACCTCAGGAGAATAATTATTTTCTTGATATTTAAAGTAAATTAATTTGAAGGTAACTAAAATGACAGCTAAACACTAGAGATTTTCTGCTAAGTCTAAACAAATGTTTCCGTTTACTTAGTGTGATTTTACCCAAAGTACCTCATTTACAAGCCCCGCTCCTGCTTCCCTTTTACAAAACTTTCTATTCCTCATACTTTCCTGTGATACATGTATTCCTACTCACTTAAATTCTGGTAACACTGCTAAGAAATGGTACGCGTTTACCTAGTCTTCAGGTGGGCAGCACACTTTCTGTGCTATCTTACCTCAGGTAGCAATTCTTACTTTCTGAGTCACATTCCTTTGTTTCATTAGTATGACTGCACAGAACAGCAACAGTATCTCAACCAGCATGTTAGATACCAGAGGTGTAGCAAGAAAGAGGCAAAGAATAAATAATAGTGATCATTTCATAATGCCAAGTGGCCTTACGCACAATGGACGTGGCGGGGAAAGCCGGCTGTGAAAATGGGAAAACAAATCTTCATATACGACAGCGAGAGTTATTAAGAGGCTGGTACGGGAGGATGGATCAGTGGGGCGGTGGGGAGGGGTCAGTGCTGGCGTCGTAGACCAATGACTATAAAGGCTCTGGCTTGTAAACAGTGTCATCATTGACAGTGTCTTAAGCCAAGAAGAAATGAGATAGGACACATCTGAAGACACTCACAGTAAGGTGCTCCCGGTACTTGATAAAGACAGGGTTGTCGGAGCCACATCAAGAGGGCTATGGCAATGCTCAGGTGGAACTGATCGTGGTCCTACAAGAGCAGTGGGGAGAGTTGTGAGGGAATGACTGGGTTCTAATAAAGCTGTAAGTTTCATGTTTTTTTTTTTTGTTGTTGTTGTTGTTGTTTTAAATTATCTAGCATGGGGACCTGGGAGGTAGCTCAGTAAATAAAGGCACTGGCTGCTTTTCCAGAGGACCCAGGTTTGATTCCCAGTACCCACATGGTAACTCACAACTCTATAACTCTATTTCCTGAGCATCCATTGCCCTCTTCTGGCCTCTGTAGACACTGGGCATGCATGTAAAGCACAGAGATACATGCAGCAAAACATTCATATGTATAAAATTAGATAATAAATAAAATCCCTGTTATTCTAAAGCTTCTAAAACCCATTCATAAACTGTACCTGGGTTAAGATTTCTCTCAGGACTCCTGTGAATGCGTCACTCATGCTGTCTAAACGGCAAAGTTTTAGGATCTTCAGCTAATGCATAAGAAACATCGTTTTTAAACTCACCAGGTTTTAAGTTTTCTACCTTACATAAGTAATGTAGGAAACACCTGGTATAAATAAGAATGCTTAAAATGCTCCCCGCATTATTGCTCCTCAAATACAGCTTCCGTGGCTGCATACTCCTTTATTTTCTGCTCATTCTTTTTTAAGAAAGTAAAAGAGAAAGCAAGTAAGGCATAGGCATGGAGAACACTGGCTTCTGGTTGTAGGAGGCCGAGGTTCAAGCCTAGCCTTCTGGCCTCTCCAGTATTGGAGAAGTAACCTTACCTCCCTGAATCACACCGTCCTTCAGACAGGACTACTAGGAGCAGTGTGATACTCTGCAAGCGAAACACCTGGTGAAATGCCGGGCGCACAGTCTGCGTTCTGCGGTTAATAGCTGCAGTGTTTCTTTGGACAGCAGAGCACTGCTAACGATACAAGAGTTACTTTTCTTTATTATTAAAAGTCCTTAAGCTATCTCCCCTGGGGCTTGATTGCAACTAAATTGTCATTCATCTCTGATAACCTAGATTAGAGGGCTACGTCATATTCCTAATATTTAGTAGTTTGCTTTATACAGTGCACTTTTTAAAAAGGTTGTGTAGATAAAGGCAAGTTCAAATCATCCAGGGTATATTTACCTGTTTGGCTTGTACTTTCTAGTAATAAACTTTCGTGGCCTGCTGTGAAATAACCTGCCATAAGTAACTGTACAGAAGACATTGTCATCTGTGTAACAATTTGATTTAGGGCTCGTTCTATATGAATACCCAAGTTCCAAGGCTAATGACTTGTATCGGACTGATACACTGAAGAAACAGCTCTGCTGAGAGAGGGCTTGCCTGCATCCACAGAGCCCTGGGGCCAGCTCTGAGAGCCACAAGACCAGCATAGTAGTGCAACCCTGTAATCCAGCATTTGGGAGATGGATCAGGCATTGACAGGCATTTCTGGCTACATAGGCCCTTTGAGGCCAGCCTGGGATACGCACAACCCTGTCTTAAACAAAAACGAACCACTAAAGTCAGGAAGTTTTATTGTGATCCTTGTCACAAATGTTTACTAATAACTAGTAAAATTGTCTGGGCTTTGTGTTAACACTTACTTAGTAACAGATGATTTTGAAACAGTGTGTGAAAATGCTTGAGTCAGTTAATGCAAAACACCAGCATTAAAAGGTAGTTGGCCTAAACAGGGCCTAGAGAGGCTTGTGGAGACTCAAGCACCCAATAAAGGACCATGCATGAACTGGACCTAGGCGACCTACACAAATGTAGCTGCTGGGCAGCTCGGGCTTCATGTGGGTTTTTCTAGTAGAGGGAACAGGGCTGTCTCTAACATGGACTCTGTTGCCTGCTTTTTTATCATTTCCCATGGTGGGGCTATCTTTCCAGACCACAGGGGAAGAGGACTCAGTCCTGATGGGACTTGATGAGCTGGGATGGGGGGAGGACTCTCCTTTCCTGAGGAATAAGTTATAACATACTTTTCTGCTGGATAACTTAGACTTTGGCATTTTCTCCCTCCTAAAAGCACTTGGAAAATCAGTACCAGTACTTTGTCATTGGTCTTTCCATAGTTAATATTCAAAATGCATTCCTTCATGATAAATGTATCTGATGTGTTATTCTAAATATAAAATTAAATATTTCCTTGTTTAGAAATTAATTATAATTGCAAGAAATGTTTTCAAAGACTAATTCCCAACAGCGTGTAAATTTCTGAAGTCACAAATTATTTATTGTATATAAGGACAAAGTCCTCTTATTTAAATAATGCTTAGATGTGACTAGAAGATCATTATGTCAGTAAGGTTCAGGTATAACTTTCAAATTAATTGCTTTTGTCCTAATTGACTAGTTAACAAGTGTGAAATATATATTCATGCACACACACACACATGAGAAACATCAAATTAAAAGCTTGTTTGTAAAGTAATTCTAACCATTTCTCTTTCCACTTAATAATCCCTGTTTCTACATATTCTATACATATGTGTTAATAGTGATTCTCTGGAATAAAGAGTGCACATATTTAGGAAAATACAATCAGTTAAAATCAGCTAATAAGGAAAATGCCTGTTGCCCATTATCAAGCGCCAAGGTTTAAAGTAACTATAATATTAATGTGTTTTTTTTTTGTTGTTTTTTTTTTTTTTTTTACCTCTGGACTAACATGAACAATTTAAATTTATGTTCTCAAATTTCACATGACTCCTAAACAGCCAGAGATGTAAACAGATACAGAATTTTTGAGAAATTTCTAAATAAAATTTGCTAACTGTATTTTATCTACTGGTTACAGTCTTACATATTTATCCAAAATTTCTTTTTTTGTACAAAATTTAAATATAGCCAGCCTCATGTTTTGTTTATTTTTATTTGGAAGAGAAGCAGTTAAGATATTTCCACTTGCATTCAGTCTATTTTTATAATAGTTTCATTCAGGGGATGGGCATTTAATTGGTCAGATGTTTAATTCCACTAGAGAACATTTTCCCTGCCATTTTCAAGGACTAGTTATTGTTTTCTGTGTATCTGGAAACTATTTATTGTCATCATTTACCTTGAAGGCTATCTAAAAGAATAAATCTATTCCATTCATTCTAGGTCAAAAATATGAAGTAAATGGCTGCAAATACTTCCATTAAATTTCCAGTGTAAACACAACAAAGGCTCATACGCCTTTTACTTGATTGTCTGAATGATCTAGGGATGCACTTGTGTATTTAAAAATCCTCCAAGGTAAATAATCTATTAATACAAATTGCTGATTTTCATTTTTTTTAAGGCCTGATGGAATTGGAACTGTTTCAGTGGAAGAGAAAGAAAGATTTGAGGAGATAAAAGACAGACTTTCTTCCCTTTTAGAAAACCAGATAAGCCACTTCAGGTATGTATTGTGTTTGAGCCAAGTATCTGTTTCTCCAGTGCTGCTTTATTTCCATCCCCCAATGCAGTTTTGCTGTTGTTGTTAAATCTTGCCACCACTCGGCAATTACCAGTGTGCCCCAGTGGCTCGCAGTGTATGATCCAGTCTTCACTCTGTGGTCTGCCTCCCGGCCGCTCATTGTTTCCATTGTGCTTGTACCTTAGCCATTCCTGTTGTACTATCCTTCTGCTAGAACTCATACTTTTTCTTTGCGTTCTCATCCTTGCATAAATTTTTCCATCCTGGCTCTAGTGACTTTTCTTTTCTTTTTTTTTTTTTTTTAACCACCAGACAAGGAGGTTCCCATGTCCATGCTAGAGACATTCTCAGTTTTCCACCAAGGAATAGTCTCAAGTCTTTTAGCAATTATTTGTGTCTTTAACTGTCCCTGAATAACATGGTTAATAAATTCACTGCTTAATCTATTAGCTATTTTTGTATTCATAACGTAAGACATAGCACCTAGTGCTCCTTGGCCAGGAAGATTGGACAACAACACTAAGACTCATTTGCAGAGTGAAAGATGAACAGCTTGATACTGTTATTGCCCTGATTTTAGTTAGTCTCAAAGAACCCAGTGGTTAGAGACATACATATAAATATGCTAATATATTTTCTTCTACTACAACTATTAGACTCTATGAAGTATTTTTACATCAATTTTGTCTTCTAGAATGTCTATCAGATGCTTATATGATTTGGAATCATTTCAGAAATCAACAAGCTTTATGAATATACATGCCAACCAAATTATTATTTATATTTGAATTTGACCACTTTATGTCTTGTATCTTTATCCAAAATAGGAAGAGCTTAGGGATTATGGCTTTAAGAATTATACTAAGCAATAAATTCTCAAGGAAGAAGGCGCGCATCTGTGGGTCTACACTGGAGGCTTTCAGCAGCAGGTGATAGCATGACCTCAAGAGGTAGAGACAATGGAATCAGTCGTACAGGTGATGTCTCTAGACTCACACTGGAAAATGACTACATTCAAAGATAGCTCACCATGAGGATAACAGTGACCTAAAAGCATAACGGTATTCAGCTTTCAAACTTAAGGTTTAGTTCTCTACATACATTTTTGGTTTACATATAAAACATTGTCCTAAGGAAGGATTTTGTATTTGTAGAGGTCTGCTTCTGCATTCACTGTTGTTAAAAGTTTTGACCCTCAGAAATATAGTTTTTTTAATGTACTTTGTGAGTCTTTCAGTGAAACTCGATCTTGTAATACCAGCTACTTTAGAGGCTAAGAAAGAAAACAATAAGTGTAGGGCCCATCTGGGTTAACATCAAGAGCTTACTGTCAACCTGTGCAACTTAGTGAGGCTCCGTCTAAGAAATAAAAGTTGTGGGCTAGAGAGATGGCTCAGTGGTTAGAGTTCTTGCTGCTCTTCCGACAGCTTGGATTCAGTCTGTAGCAAGCACATTGTGTGGTGGTAACTCAGTAATAGCCTACTTGATTAGCATAAGTGAGGCCAAGAGCTTAAGCCCAGTATTTGAGAGTATGAGAAGATAAAGTTCATGTTATTAATAACATATATGAAAAGTCATTTAGCCTCAATAATATTCCAGAGATGCATTTAAAGAGCAAATACAATAAGAATAAACCAAACAGTTTCTTGACAGACATTGAACATAATGGCCAGAGGAGTGTCATGAATCTAAAAGGTGAAGTATGAGAACAGAACATATGATGAAGAACCTGGAAAATCTAATAGAAGTGAGATGAGCAATAGCTAGTAAAGACATTCCAGGGGGACAGAATCCTGGGCAGCAATGGAAAGTCGATGCAACAGCTCACTTGACATATATAACTCCCCCGACAAATGCAGGAATTGGTGTGTGGAGAGCACCTCCAGAAAGTGAGTGTGAAGAATGAGTTATAAACCTGCTGAGAGGTACTTAGAGCCTCAGATTTCTCTCTCAACACAGCTCTTCTGTAAGAGTGTCAGTCTACATATTAATTCCCCAGAGAAAATGATGGTACCTGGATGGAAGTGGAGGGGAGAGGAACATCACCCATGTTCAAAAGTTATGATAGGAAGAACTTATTTTTTGTTGTTTGTTTTTTGAGACAGGGTTTCCCTGTGTAGCCTTGGCTGTCCTGAGCTTACTCTGTAGACCAGGCTAGACTCGAACTCACAGAGATCTGCTTGCCTCTGCCTCTCAGAGTGCTGGAATTACAGGTGTGCACCATCACACCTGACTGATAGGTAGATTCTTTTGTGCAACTTTGAGACTGACATTCTTCTCCCAACTCCTATAGCTGATGCTCCCAAAACTAGCAGCAGTTAGGCAGGTTTACATGTTACAAACATGTTCGCCTAAATGTCTCAGTATCCCCAGGGGAAAAGCCCACAGCTCTAGATAGTTAAGGCTTCCCTAATATCTCAGCGAGAGGCACCTTCTGCAAGAACTGTCTGGCCTCTTTAAGAACCACCTCCTTGCGCAGCTTCTTTTCACTTTCTAGTAATGTGCTTTTGAGCATGGCTACACATGTAGCTCATCAGACATTTGAGAGAAGTATTTGACATAGGGTAAAGAGCCCAATGCTGGTAGATAACAAAGGGAGGTGCCGATTTGGAAATAATAAAACTTGTATGGGGAAAGGAAAGTGGGGGGATCTGTTATTGAAGTCTTGAGAGAAGTTTAAAAAAAACAAAACAAACAAACAAAAAACAGAGCATCAATCAAAAACGAGGTTGAAAAGTTAAATAAAACTTCAAAGAACAAATAAGAACTCCAGAGATGGTGTGAAAAGCTGACATACACAACACGTAAACAAGCCATTGGAAAAATAAGTTCATAAAAATGTCCAGGTACAACGTTGCTTTTACTGTTGAAGAACCTCCATTCAGCTAAAACTGATCCCTGACTTCACCACAGGGAGGAAAGTAAGGAAGGGCAAGACAGCGCAGAGTTAGAGGGTATTGAAAATAAAGAAATGAAGAGGCACTCCCAAGAGTGTGGGCGGGGCCTTCTCAGAGTAGAGGCCGCCTGATTGTCTTAGCTGTAGCCAGATATCCATTTGTCCTGCTCCTCAAGGGACATCTCAAAGGTTAAGACAAATTTTCTCTTTCTTCAGTCTCTTTTTTCAATAAAGTAGACTATAGGGAAGCTCTAAAGGTACTGTGGGTGGAATTTCAGCTGATAAGTTAAAACCACAATCAATAGGATTGCATAAGAGTTAAGACTGTCTTTTACCATAAATGTGGTTTCTGTTAAGATTCCTAGAAATGTGTAGTTTAAAGCTAGGGAAGGGAAAATATCACATAAAGTAAAGTCTCAACTGTCATTTATTTCCACTTTAACATTCTTATTTGAAAATATCGTTATACAGAAGAAGATTGTTCCTTTAGCACATTTTAATTGTGTTGGAAATCTTGATTTTCTCCTGACCTAGCCAGAGGGTTCAAATGGATTCTAAAAGGGAAGGGCTCTTTTTTCCCCCATGTCCCCACAATTTTTTTGGTTCTGCCTCAATTAATGTAATGTGGATACTAGATGATAACCACAAATGATAGAATTCATTAAGTAGAAGGGATGAGAATTATGTATGATAGATAAAGAAAACATACTATTCAAGATGGAAATACAACTTAAAACTGCAGTTTGGGCCAAGCCTGTTTGCATAGCGGCCAAGCCTGAAATCCTAACACTTGAGGGGCTGAAGCAGGAGAATGAGGAGTTCCAGACCAGCCTCTGAAACGAACAAAAACCTCTTAGCATATCCCCAAACCAAAACAGCAAATCTGAACACAGAAAAACTGGAACTTTCAAATCCCGTTGGTAAGGCTGTGGTATTGCAACCCACTTTGGAAACTACTTTGGTGGCTTCTTAAAATTGTAAATACAGGTTGAAGAGATAAATGTTAAAGGTGTCAGCTACAACTTGACCTGTCTATTTTATTTTTTCTGAATCACATAAATTACTTGGGGTAAGGCAGAGCAAACATAAAGGGCCCAAGTTCTTGCTACAAAAAGCCTGTTAGAAGAGGAAACACTGCACACACGGAGTTCCAGTAAATAATTAATGCTGCATTTAAATATGGAAAGGGGCAGTGCTTCAAAATAGGAAGAGCCTAACCTGGTTCATTTATCTGTGAAACTCTTTTACCAAAGTGGGAATGAGGTTGGATTCATTTTGCTCAGATTGGGCATTAAATGTGATTGATTTTTATTCAGTAATCGAATGTTTTCCACTTTGCTGTGCTGGTGCATAGCTGTCAAGACTGGTAAAACAAACAAACAAACAAAAATCCAAAATATTTATCCTGAATGGAGGCAGAACAAAATGTTCCCCTTCTTTTAGAACTTCTTTTAGATTAATTAAGCTTCTGTGTAGTTATTTTCAGTACGTTATTGATTCAGGATTACTCTAAATGTGCTGAATTATTTACACATCCTGCACAGCCAATGCTAATTCAGAACATACCCATTGGGACCTCAGAGCCCTGAAATGCTAAATGTAATCTGAGGATCAGTAACATTCTATTCATAAAATGTGTCACCCACAGGTTAATGGAAATAAACAATAGAAAAGACAATGGATGGATTATGCAAATACACTGAAAAGACTAAGCAGGCGAGGGAACTACAAGGACCAAATTGGCGCTTTATTTAAATGTGGATTAAGCTTTAAAGTATACAGAATGGTTAAAGCTATTTTGCTAATTTGCCAAGGTATAAAAAGCACCATTACACAGGAAACTCTATTAAAATAAATTGACTGTGCCTTTTTTGTACGTTGGAGAACAGGACAGAGAGAGGCAAGATTAAGTATATGTTCTAACAGTAAGTAAATGATAAATCCTCTGAAGAAAAGCCCGGTTAACTAAATTTGGAAAGTATTCACTTGCAATTATCTTTACTGGAGAAACTTTATGAAACTAACAACCCCTAAAACAAACTCAAATACCTTTCTTTTAAAAGGAAAAAAGAAATGTGACTTTTATCCTTTTTTTTTTTTTTTTTTTTTTTTTTGGTTTCCTAAACACATTTCAATGCGAAACTTAAAGTGCTTCCTAGGTAAATCCATTCAAATTACAATGTGGAAAAAAAAAAGAATTTTATTCAGTGGCCACTGGATAATTGAGTAGGACATGGAGATAAGTAAGCTTCTTCCCAACTCATTAGCTTGAGGATTTCTAAATTACAGTGGGATGGCAGCATAAGGCCAGCCAGCTGGGTCCTGGGAGGAGCGACAGCCTCAGAAAGGGACTAGTGTCTGCTGAATCGGTTAGTAAAGCCGGTGGCTCCAGCAGGATGTACCAGCTCTGGCTGTCAGTGCTCCTTACGTGGGGATGGACATAAAGAAAGAACACACCTGTTAGCACGCTGTGGCCACTGACCGTAGAAGGGAGTCTGTTCTCTCCCTGAGCCTGTGTCTGGCCTCAGTCAGTTATCTGCCTTCTACTTGTTGCTTTGCAGTCAGAATCCATCAGGCAAGAAACGGCTGTGATTGGTTCCTCTCCTGAGGAAGTTCTGTGCAGGGTCTCCATGTGACCTAGGGAAGTGAAAGAATTAAACATGGTAGCTGTGTGGTGTCCCTAAACAGAGGGAGTGAAACTGTTGCTCTTCAAAGTTAGGTATATGGTGGGTGTGTATACCTTCTTCTCCTGCATATTAACTCAGGCAGGTATGAGAGAAATCATTTCATCTTCTCTTGGACCTTAAATATCAAACCTTCAACAGGATGGTTACACAATAATCCTTTCTACAGTGACTGGGGTTTCTTCCTTTTAGTGCTTGTCTTATGAAGACTTGAGAACTCCTTTCATCATAGTTGACGTGTTGCTAGTTCAAGACCTTGAAATCACACACTTGGTACAATTTAACAGTTAAAGTAACTCCTGTTGTCAAGGTTCTCAGTTCTTGCCACGTAATCACAGCTCTTAAGTTAATATTAGATGCATGATGTTTTGTTCCCCTTTTTATTTTCAAAGATACTGCTTTCCCTTCGGACGACCTGAGGGTGCCCTAAAAGCTACGCTCTCATTACTTGAAAGGGTACGTATGAAGGTTTATATATGCTATTTGTGTTCTGGTGCGGGGGGTGGGGGAGTGGGGGGGACTGTTTCAGCTGTTGAACTGAGTCAGAGCTATTTGCTGTACTCACACCACTGCTGAACCTTTCTCTCTTTCTTTTCTTTCTTTCTTTCCTTCTTTCTTTCTTTCTTTCTTTCTTTCTTTCTTTCTTTCTTTCTTTC